AGCAATTCTAAGAAAGCCACTTTCTTGCCCCATTTCCTGACATATATTTCTTCACATTTATTAAAAATCTAGGTTAAAGATGTGAATCCTGTTTCCCCTTCCCTCCTCCCAGAACATCTGTGGCAAATGATGAAGTCTTAAGGAGTGACCGAGATGTGCAAATATTGCAGAAGGGGAAAATTCCATTTTGCTCAAGTATTTGGGCAATGGTTGCTGTGTTTACACAGCCACAGTGAACGGAGCAGGGGGTGCGGGTGGTGCAGAGGTAAAGAGGTAAGGTGGCATAATCAACTGGTGAATCTGGAAATGTCCAACTAGAGAGTTTAATCTGGTTAACACGGGAGAAGGTGCTTTTCTCCCTCCCCTCCCCCCAGATTCCTACGAATTTGAGCCAGATGAATCCTGAGTAGTTATTCAGGTTGGCAGGCAAGCAGATGGGGTCTTCATCTATGATTTAAGGGTCACCAAAAGCTTTCTCTGGCTCAGTCGTACCCTCTCTTCCCTGCCCTGAATCCCACACATTTCACCTTGGGCCCTTTGGTTTAAGGCCCAAGGGTTCCTATAGATGTGATTTTTGAGTGGCAGCCAAGGCCTCTGTCAGCCTTGGGCCAAATCGGTTGATCAGATGAGCTCTAGGCTGGGAAGAGAGTATGTGAGGAACAGTTCTGGTGGGGCACCCCCTGAGTGAGGGGCCTGGGTAAGGACATCAGGGAGCCCAGGGAGCCCAGGTGGGGAGGGAACTCGATGGGAGTCGGGGGCACGGAATGGGGAGCGAGTAGAGGCCAAAGATGAACTTCCCTGACCACACTGTTGCTTAGGAGGCCTTCCAGTGAAGACAATTCACAAGGCACCAGAAATTACACATGCTGCAGTTCACATAGCACATACCAACGTGGATTTAATCTTCTCTTTGGATTTAAGGCCAAAGAAGTGGTGGGAGCCCTCCAGGAAGCTGTTGCTATACCCCTGGCATGTGCTTTGGGGTCCGTCAAGGAGAGCTCTATTATCAGCTCCCAGGAAAGAGCATTATTTCCCCATAGTCAGAAGTCTTTGGTCTGAATCTGCCCCCCAAACCTGTGTGTCAAGGACCAAGATCTCCGAGCCTCAGTCTAGGTCTACCTACTTTTGTCGAGCACTTATTTATGTGCCAGGCATGGTCTGTAGTGGTCTGTAGGCCCAGGAAGGTGTGCGATGAGTCCACAACGAGTAAAGGTCACCGTCCTTTCTATTCTATCATTTATAAAAAGGAGAGCCTCGTATCTTCTTGGCAGGCATCAAATAAGAATGCACCAGGCAATACTCCATAAACTAAACAGCCCTACAGAAATGATAGGACTTTTCATGGTAATGGACCAAAGAAGGGTTTCCTACATAGTTCTTTGAGGTGTGGGTAGGTATTCTGTTAAAATAAAACCAATCTTCATGGTCATTTTTCTTCTATACTTTACAGATCGCTTTTCAACCTGTGCCAGGCCTGGGAACTCCAGGAAGCTGCATGGGGCACCCTGTGTAGCAACCACATTTTCTAGTTTCTGTATTTGATGCTTTGACATTTGGGGCCTTTTTGACCCCTGGAGGGACTGCTCCTCTCAGGGTTAGCCAATTCCTAGAGGTAGTAAACAACTCACCTTCCAGTGCACCTTTCATATGCAAACCAACCGATCCAGAGCCCACACGCCCCACCTCCTCTACGGCTCTCACACTCTGGGCCACTGTCTACTGCCCTAATCACCCCAGAGTCAGGTACCAGACAACTAGGGACAGCTCCTGTGTCCCAGAGCCTGCTGAAAGTATTCAAACTAGCCAACCCTAAGACTGCTAACCCTGCCTCGCCCGCTCTTTCCTGCAGAAACCACAAAAGAGGCTCTTGCCCACATTTTCTCCTGCGCCCCCTGCCCCCTGCCCAACCATGGTGCTTCTCCGTGTGGTCCTGCACGCCGTGCTGTGCTCGTTTCTAGTGACCCATGAGTACACCCTCTTCCTTCGTGACAGTCGTTTCTATATCTGCATGTTTTACCATATTTGATTTAAAACAAATCTCGAGTACCCTTAAAATAGCTTGGTATGTGGGTGCAGGACATCTGATGTGCACAGGTATGGACATCATGGACCAACAGAATGCCAGGTGGCAGGGACAGGCCTGAGGTCTGCATCTAGATGTTTAATTTCAACATAGGTTTGTGGGAGGCTGCAAAGCACTGGGGGTAAGAGTGTGGGTTCAGGGTCAGAGGGTCTGGGTGTGAATGTGGTCCCCCACTTCCCACTCATACACCTCGGTCTTAACTCTTCTACATATCAATTCCTCCTCTGTTAAGATGGGATGATGCCAATAGTACCACCTCTTAAGGTTGTGAGGATTCAGTGAGATGATGGATGCACAGACTGAGCCCAGGGCCTGGTACTTAGGAAACACTCCTGAGGTGAGCTATTTTTATTATCCCACTGTTCAATGTTTATTGAGAAGTAACCCTACAAAATCAAATGTGAATTATTTCTTTATTATGTTAAACCATATTTTTAGGTCAAAAATGGGTGAATGTTGGTGATTTCATAGGGTTCAGTCTTAGAAGTTCATTTGTCATTGACATTTTTTGCTGTCTATTTTAATCCAAGTGAGAACTATATTCAGGTTTTCCACAATCACATTTTGCGACTCCTGTCTCAAGAAAGCCCCTCTTACTTTGGTTTGTTCAACAGCCTCTGGAAAGACATTCTTAGTTTCAAATGTTCCACTTTCAACACTGTGTGTTTATAGCAGTAACAGTTTCCAAAAAAAATCACACGTAATTTCCACACATTCTTTCAGGCAAACAAACATTGTCTCAACTTGAAGTGAAAATAAAGCCTTGCTAGTTAAAAAAAATCCCAGGTATTGACAAGAAGCCTGCCTATTTCCTTGAAACCCTCTAAAATGTGATAAATGACAGAAAGCTTCAAAGTGACATTCAGCAGCATCTTAATGAGAGTTGTGGAAATGTAAATTCGCAAAGGATACAACCGCTGCCGACCAGCCAATCACAGGTCGGTTCCTTTAATTAAGTGCCTGCACTGTTGTCATGGGGACATGTGGGTGCAGCATCCCATAATTCCCAGTGTTGGCATACTGGGGGCCAGGGCACCTTTCCCTTCCTTGCATGTGGCCACTTGGGATATGCTCCTGTCCCAGCAGCTGGCATTATGGCCACAGCACACATTTTAAGCAAATTCCAAACCAATGCTTATATTAATTCAGGGATAAAGTTGTCTGGAAGGAGTACCATAAGCGAGAGGAATATCATTAAAATTCCTACGGAATGGCATTTAGGATCACAATAGGGCAGTGTTTCTCGGAGTCCACGCCTCTTTGCATCAGAACCCCAAGGTTGTTTTCCAACTGCACAGTCTCAGCGCCGCCCCCAGGTCTCCTGAACTCGGCTCTTCAGGCGAGGCCCCAGGATCTGCATTTTAACAGGATGCCTCACCCGGTGAACGGCTGCACTGGGGCGGCATCACGCTGGGTTTTCTACGAGGTGCCTCTTAGGTTAGTTTCTTTAACTAGGTAGCCCAACAAGCTACCATTCCCTTATTTGTGTGGCTCATTAAACATTCGTCTCATGAGGTTTAGGAAAGCCTTGTAGATAAGTCGGCTTAGGCATAGTCAGGCCTTGGCTTTGTCCTGCTTTGCTCAGATCTGGGGGCCCACTTGGGAAAGCTGACCTCCCGCCTCTTCCAACCACTCAGGCACACCGAGCCCTGGATGGGTAGGTGTGCAGAAGGGCCCCAAGTCGGCATGGAGCCCATTATCCAGGCATAAGCCCTGGACACTGGGCCTGAAAATCATTTTGGCAGGATCATGCTGTTTAGCATCTAGTTGGAGCCTTTTAAACAAAGCATGTGTATTTATGCAAATAACATACAATAGGATCATCTAAGGCTGAAGGAAAAACCCTGGTTAGCCTCAGCGTTAGGACTAGGTGCCGTGACTGGTTGGTTCTAATGGAAACTGGGGCCGATGAGACTGGGGTAATAGGCTCGACCGTGGGTCCAGGGGCAACAACAGTCCCACAGCAGCACAAGCCGGCGCTGCCATCATCACCTCCCTTGGGTCTCCCACCTGCCCACCTCTCATTTCTGTGCCTCATCTTTCTGTATGTGTTTCCCTTTGGTACTTTTCTCCTTCCCTCTGCTCTCTTTCCACATTCCCTGTTAACACTTCTGTTGTTTCCCATCTTTGCTGTTTTGTGAAATGTTAGATCTCTCAAAGTTATTTGTTTTGTGTTGAGTTTGAGGAGTGGAGCAAATAAAACGCAGGCTTCCTGGGCTGGGCTCCACCACGGGGCTGTGTGCGGGCACCCGTGTCTCTGGCATCCGGCCTGCATTCCCATTTTGCCCGGGTCAAAAGTAAAACTGAATGTTTAAGTGTAGTTTAGAGTCGCAGCCAGAGCTTGGACAATTAGTTATCCGGACAATTTCAGAAAGTAGGATTTTACTGCTTGGCTGATCCCACTTGATAATTCATCCAATGAAGATTGCTGGCTCATCATAAAATGGCCACTTACTGTGCACTAGGGCTGGAGTGAGCAGAAGACCCACGAACCAGATCTATGAAAACATGCTCACTGCAGTCTGTAAAAAGGAGGATAAAAATGCAGAAACCAAGGTTATGGATCTTCCTGTCACAACGAAGCCCTGTTTGGCTGTGTAGGCTGAGCCTGTTCTTTAATAACTGTAAGTTGTTTCTCACAGTACAGAACTATTCCACCAGCCTGAAAACAAATAAGCAAATAATGTGCATTTCAGTGGGACTTCGTGCACTGGCATAAACAGGTGTGGGAGTGTGTTCTTCTCGAACGGGAGATAACACTTAACAGCACAAAAACGCACCTTGGGAACATGAGAATCCAAATGCAAATATGAAAAGCACATCTTCTCCCTCTTCCTCCCTCAGTGATTCTTACGCCCCCATGTGCACATTTCCATGATAAAAGACACTGTCGCAATTATATGACAATTAAACTTACCATTGTTGTAAGAGCGAAAATTTCCTACAAATTTTATGTATTCATACGTCGGAAATTCCTTTGGGTTCAAGCTGCCTCTGAGAAGATGGCAATAAAACTCTAAATCGTTGTCAGCTGGGCCGTTAGAGGGACAAGAGAAGAGAAAGGGAACGTGAGCATTACACGGACTCTAAACGAGCAATGCCTTTGTGAAACTCGCGGGATTTAGTTACACACGGCCAGGATATTGCTCTCATTATGACTGACTTTCGGACATGGTTTTATAACCTTTGCAGTGTAGGCATTTTTTCCCCTATAGTTTATAGATATTTTGCATTCCACTCTTGGACCCAATTAGTCTTAATTTGCGCACAGATGTCTGTGGTTGGTGATGTCGGCACTGATTAGTTCCGGGTGCATTCATACGGTGTATTAAAATAAAGATGCTCATATAGGGCTGCTCTCTTTAATTTAATCTTTTTGCTTTGCTTTGAAGTAAAACCAGATGTACGACAGGACAAATTATTCATGGAAAATGGAGTAAGGCTTGCACAAGTGCGAGGCCCTTCGCTACCTCCGTCTACGTATGTGCTTCATTAAGTGACACGTCGTCAGGAGGCAGCAGGGCCAGCCTTCTAGACAAGTGGCCAATTCTGATAAAAGCTTAAAAATTCCATAAAACCCGCAAATGTATATAAATAACCAGATGATAGCCTCGGGAGAAGAGAATTTGGATTTTTGACCTAATTATTCAGTTTTCAATTGGTATCATATAAACCTAGCATTATATAGTACCCTCCAAAATAAGCAGATTGCTTGCTGATATTTGCCCTGTTTGTTACTAAAAGACTCTCATGTTAAAACAAAGAAATCTCCTATATTACATCCCAAACAAGTTGTTATTCTTAAGCTCTATGTTTCCAAATTTTCCACATTAAAGTTAAATGTCTTACATATTCCAAACTCCAGTTTTAGCTTTAAACTTAAAATATACCTCTAAGGATCTTGGAAATGTTCTGAGTCACAAGGGAAATTATTCTTAAAATTAGTCCTCCCTTCTTAATTCATTCTAACCTCCCTTCAAAAGTAAAACTCTTATCTTTGTATCTTGTAAAACCAGTCAAGTTAAACTTACATTTTAAGTATTCTGGGGAGGGGGACTCTGTCACAAGCATATGGGAAGAAAGCATTTTATAAACTTCTGAATGTTCTTGTTCTGGAAGGAAATTTAACAAATTCTGATCCATGACATCCGACTGAAAAAGAAAATAAAGAAGAAAGGTACACACTCAATGAAGATGAAAAACAAAAGAAAAAGCAAAACCCAAACATTCATGACAATTCAGAACTGGTTTCTGAAATGCAAAGTTCAAGATCTGATTTTCTGTGGACTCTCAGTCTGTTACTCTGTAACCCTGAACTGTAATCTGAAGGTTTTCACTGCTCAAATGCAGGTGTGCTGTTGTCCATGGGCCCAAGAAAGAAGTACAAGTGAAGTCAGACAAACACGCAGAGTCCTCCTCTCGCTGAAGGAGCCCCATTGCCGACACTCCTGCATTCTGGCTGGGACCGCGTGGACCATGTGGGCTGCATGGGGCCCCAGTGCCAGGCCAGTCACTGACTTGAAGGGCCCTGAGGAGCTCATGGGGTTCCCTCTCTGACCTTTAGGCCAGCGAATGGCTGCCTGTTTACTTCTTACAGGTCTCTAGTGGAAGGAATGGAACTTTTTTTCTGAGTGACGGGACACTGTGGGTACAGAATAAATACAACATAGAGTCGGATACAGCACTGTCCAATAGAACCCTCTGTGATGGTGGAAATGGTCTGTCCATTTCCAGTGCGATGATCTGCGCTGTCCGTGAAGGAAGCCGCTAGCCACATGGCTACTGAGCACTTGAAATGTGGCTCATGTGACTGAAGACTGAAACCGAAAAATACAATTTTTAATTGTATTTAATTTTAATTATTTTAATTGAAATTTAAGTAGCCACACACGGCTAGCGGCTCCCGTATCGGATAGTGCAGGTAGAAGCTCACAGTGGAGACAGAGCAGACAGGCACGTCTCCATGGCTTCCTCAGTCTCCCTCAATAAACTCATCCCTGCCTACGGCTTCAAATACCATCTGTATACACTCTTTGATTTGTATGTCCAGGCAACTCCCTCTTGTGTGCCCTGGCTCAATCTTCCAACTGCCACTCCGACGCCCCTGGGGACACAGATTCACGTCTCCCCAACATCACCATTCTTTCACGCCCACACCTCTCCCCCCGTCGTGTTCTCCGTCCCCAAATATGGTATTGCCAACCGGTGACTTGCCCATACCAGACACCCAGCTGGCAGTCTTGACTCTTCTCCATCCTGCCCTCATTTTTACATCCAAACTATGTCCAAGTGCTGCGAGATTTTCCTCCTTGAAATTCTCTCAGACCCACTCACTTCTCTCTCTTTCTATGGCCTCTACACTAGTCCAGACCATCATCATCTCTTATCTGGGGAATGAATTGGCCAAGCTGGTCTTCCCACATCAACTTCTGTCCCTGCCTAATATGTTCTCCACTAGCAGCCAGAAAGAGCCTCGTATCAGATCAAGTCACCACCTTGCTTAACACTGCCCTTTGTATTCTAATTGCTCCCAGGACAAAGCTTACGTTTCTCAACTCACTTCTAAGGCTCCGCACAACCTTATAAGTGAGGTTGCCGTCAGCCCTCTGCTCCCAGTACTTCTCCAGCCCTCCAAACTTCCTTTTCTCCAGTTTTCCAGGTTTGCCCTTCCTTCTGGGCCTTCCCCCCCGGCTGCGTCCTCTGGCTGGAGCATTCTGCACCCTCTCCTTTTGCTCACCTAACACCTGTGCATCCTTCAGGTCCCTGCTTTGAAGTCACTTCCTCTGAGAAAGCACCCATGATGGCCCCTCCTCCAGACTGGTGCCCTCAGCCCTGCTGCTCTGGCCTCCGCACCCCTCTGCTGCACTCGTTATGCCATTCTGGAATTGCTGCTGAAAGGGCATGTCTTTGCATAGACGGTAAGGCCTGTGAGGGACCAGCCCGCATCTCAAAGCAGGTGAGAGCCCCCGAGATGGGGTTTGAAAGCCGGCTCTGTCCCCTCTAAGCTGCACTTTATTCAACCGCAAGACGAGGAAGCTGTGAGGGTTAAATGAGCTGATTTGAGTATGCTGCTGACAGAAGAGTGCACAGCAAGCACTCAATCAACGCTAGTGTGATTAGGTGTTTAATAACTATTTACGAAGTGACGAGAAGCTGTCTTGTTCACTCACGCGTGTACTCTGCCTGCCTCGCTCCAACGGGAGCTCCAGGAGAGAGGGGCCCTGTCTGCCTTCTCCTCTCCCATATCCCTGACATCGAATGATGCTTGGCCTTCAATGAAAAAGTTAGACAGCTGAAAGAACAGCATGGCAAGCACTGTGACAGAAGCAACACCAAGAGAACACTGGGCATGCTGTGCTGAATCCAAATGTAAGGGGTGGGAGAGTCTCCCAGGGAACAGTTCCCAGAGGGAGGAATACGGTGTCTGCTAGGTGGCCAGGGTGCTCCAGGCAGGAGGCACAGCACACACAAAAGTGTGGAGGTGGGGCCCTTACAGCAGTACAGGGGAGTGGGGGGAGCGACGGCGGAGGAGGTTGTAAAAGGAAGGAGGGCCCAGAGTACAGAAGACCTCAAAGGAGTTAGGGCTCCATCCTGTGCACCAGGAGGACACCCTGAGGGACCTAAAGGAAGGGAGGACAGGACTGCACTTGTACTTTAAAGAGACCCCTCTAGTGGTCTGAGGAGGGAGTGGGCACAGGAAGCCAGGCTACAGACGGTCAGAGTCTGAACAGACACAAGACGGTCAGAGTCTGAACAGACACAGGGAAGGGGAGATGGAGAGGAAAAGACAGAGTCCAAGCAGTTCATTCAACAACATACTCCAACCAAGACTGACTCAGGGCCACCGTGTGCCAGCCACTGCTGCAGGCCCTGAAGAAACACAGCAAGGCAGGCAAGGCCCTCCCCTCCTGCAGCCAGCATTTTAGGGGGTGTGAGGAAGGGGGACACCACTTGGTGGCTGATGAAGGACAGGAGGAGGGAAAGGAGGGCCTCTGGGGGTTCCCAGGCTCCTAGCTGGGATGCACTCATTTTGATCTCTATGGACAAACTCTGCAAACCAGCTCACTAGCCTGTGCTATCATTTTCTCATTCTGGCTTCTCCAAGTCCCTTATGATGTTCCTGATTTTATTTTAAGCCCATTCCCTTTAGTTTTTTAGGAGATGACTAATGCTCACAGATGACAGTAGTCTTTCTTCTTAAAGACATTTCAGAGACTTGGAAATGATAACTAAATCACTCATGGTCTTTTCTTGGAGTGCCAGTTGGAAGCCCACTTCCCCTGATGCTGAGTATGGCAGGGAGCAGGGTTACGGGGCTGCCTGGCCTCGGTGCTCCCGTGGAAGAGAGTTGGCAGGTCAGAGGGCTCAGGCTACAGGTTCTGCACAGAATAAAGACGAAGGCTGGATGGAGGTTGGAGGAGGTTGCTATCGGGGGGCCTGTGAGGATTATGAGTTAATTCTTGGATAGGGCTCAGAACTGTGCTTGGCATGAGCAAGCTCTTTATACGTATTTGCTATTATATTACTATTATGCCATTTCCATGTGCTGAAAACCAACACAAACAATGATAATTTGAAAATTTAAACCCTAGCGCTTACAAGTGAGTAAATTATACCTGCAATTGAACTGTCCCTTGAATGAGCTGAGCTCTGTTTATTAAAATGATAGCGATTAGAGAGACAAGGGAGGGAACGCGCCATGTGCAGCCTTCTTCACAGCTGAATCACATTATCAGGAGCATCATTTACCAGTTGGAGACGGAAGTTTCTCTGTCCCAACTTACCGATATGTCCTTGGCTGCTTTATCAAGAATGCTTTTTTTGTGTTTTGCTATGGATGCCTGTCTTAAATTCCAAATTTCACATCTCCCACATTTTCTCTTGAGGGACCTCGAGAGCCTGGGGATCATCTGAAAGGGCTGTGGGAGACAGGAAGCATTTTCCTCTCTCCCTTTGAACCAGCAGCACCAGCTCAACTGTATCCAGCAAAGTTAAGTGAGCCTGCACAAGGAGCATACTTGTGGAGCTGGCTAGCTGGGCCAGAAGCGTTTAGTCCCCTGCCAGCCCACCCCTGTGGGGACTGGGGGCACCTCACCCTCTTGTTACTACAGAGCCGGCCTCCCACAGCCCCTGCTGGTTCACATCCCGGAGTGCAGCTCCCGTGTGGCCCTGTGTGGCACGTGTGACTGATACACTGCCGTCAATCGCATCTATCCAGTGTCAGGTGCCATGTGGTCAGCCATCCCTGTAACCCTAGGGCAGAGTGAGCAGGAGGCCATTAAAACAATACCTGACAGCATCCAGAACATGGAGAGAATACTTACAAATCATTACAAGACAACAACTCAAGACAATCCAGTAGGAAAATGGCAAAATACGGAAGAAGCACTTCACAGAAGAGGAAATCCGAATGGCTAACAAACACGCAGAGATGCCCAAGCGCATTAGCAACTGGGAGAGAAGCAAAGCAAAACTCCATGAGATACCTTCAGACACTGGGCTGGCAAAAATGGCGGAGTCTGACAACACCGAGCTCTGCTGACGTGGAACAGCTGGAACTCTCCACCCTGCTGGTAGGGGTGAACTGGTACAAGCACCGTGGAAACAATCTGGCGTTATCTAGTAAGGGTGAAGGGGTACCGACCCTACAACCCGCATTCTACACATAGTCAGTTCTCTAAGGGAAGCTTGCAAACGTTCATCAGGTAATACGTATAGCATGCCCACAGAAGCACTTTCTAAGAGTTCCAAGCTCTAATGGACACAAGAATTGCAGCATGCTCCTGCAGTGGAATACTACGCAGCAACAAGAATGAAGTGACAACAGCTACAACGAACAGTGTGAGACGGATGAATCTCACGGCAATGTTGAGCAAAGGAGAAGTCACAAAAGAGTACATTTTTCTACGACTCTGCTTACATAAAGTTCAACAAAAGGCAATACTAAATATAGTGTTAAGTGATGAATTAACAGTTGATAAAACTACAAAGAAAAACAAGGAAACGATGATCTTCAAAGTCAGGAAAATGGTCCTCTCTAGGAGGAAGGTGGGGTGTGATGGGAAAGGAGCAGACAGGAGCTGCTATGGTCCTGGCCATGTTCTGTTTCTTAACCTCAGTGACAGCTACGTGTATGTCCGTGCTCACTTTATCATTAATTTAAAAACTGAACATATGTTTTATACATACTTCTGTATGTATGCTATATAAAAATAAACAAAACCTAATTGGTGACCTGGACTCTTTCAACCTGTGATCAACTCTGAGTTGCAGCCACATCTGTCAGGGCCCTTCCTAGACAGAGCGCCCCCCAGCTCTGCCCTGACCGAGCCACCTCTGATAAGATGACCTGGACCACGTAGGTTCTTCCAGCAGGTGAGGGCAGGGTGGGAAGGAAGGGCAGAGGGATGTTTTCTGGAAAGCGTTTCACGGCCTTTGCCTTGCTGCATTTCGCGGTAACATAAGCCAGGGGCTCTGTCTTTCCTTTTCTGTGACCTCTTCTCCCTGCTGTGACCCTTGCCCCAGGAACGTGGGCCCGTAAGCCACCTTGATCTCGCACTTCTTGCTGGAGCTTTCACTTGGAGACCCAGCACGACATGAAGTGTTTTTTGGCCTGTGCATTTCTCCAACTTTATAACTACTTGTGCCTTAGATTATTTTCTTTGGGGGAAGTTGTGTAATCCACGCCCTTATTTCTCACGTCTGAGGCACTTCCCACTCTTGTCAAGCTGCCTGCAATGCTCCTGATGTGGCAGCCCCATTTATGAATTCAGTCCCTCGTTCAATGAACATTCAGGGACATGCTCAGGGCTGGGCACAGGACTTCCGCCTCACGAATTTAGCAGAGTCCAGCTCATCAGGCAAACATCGCATTCATTAAAAAATCAGAAAAGCAATCCAGGAAGCTAAATTTTTAAAAACTCAAACAAAAGTCCAGACAGGAATCACAGACTATGCCCACTTTGGGTCTCATTTGGTTCAGGCTCAGCCATACTCTTTCCCAATTCTGTCCATGGCATATGACTCATGCCCCTTAGATGTTTCCTGAAAGGTTTTTGTCCCAGAAGCTCCCTTTAGCCCTTGGTCTTCCATCAGCACGTTCATTCGCTGTGCCTATGTCTCTTCTTTGACTGCCTGTGTTAATGTGCTGGTGACCCCACCACGGAAAAGTTTTGACTTTATCTTAAAATCATTTTCTGCTTTGAGCTATGTTTTTCTTTCTTTTCTCTGTTAAACTGGAAAAGAAGGTTCCAGGATGTTTCATCAGCAAGTTGCTGTACAGAAATCTATCACGTGACTTTTGCCATGTCTGAGTTTCTCAGAGTAGGAAGGAAACAGAGAGACTTTAAGGTTGATGGTCTCAAAAGAAGAAAGGAATTCCTGCTGCTGTTCCCTGCCGCCCAGTCACTGAGGGTCCTCAATCCCAGGCCACACAGTGAACCCAACCCTTGGCATGCCAGCCTATGACACCAACAGGGGGCACTGCTGCTGGGGCCCATGGCCTCCTGTCCCCTGCCCACGCTGTGTCCCCGCTGGCTGTGCCTCCCCTCAATGGCCGCCTCTTCCACAAAGACTGACCACTGCCTTTCAGTTCCTCATTCTCTCCCTTCCTAACCACCCACCCCACCCTGAGAACATTCAACTTCACTCTGCCTTACATAGAATTCTGAGTAATGGTTAAGCACCAAATTCCGAGTTCAAATCCTAGCCCCACCATTTGCTGACTGTGGGACCTTAACCTCTCTGTGCTTCAGTTTCCTCATCTGTGAACAGGGATAACTACCTACTTCATAGGGTCATTGTCAGGATCAATAAGGATAAGGAAATCAAATGTGATAGAGTCCTGGCTCTGTGCCAGGCACTGTTCTAAGTACTCAACACATATTAACACACGTAAGGGACCCTTAATGGTGCCTGTACATGGTAAGTGCTCAATAAATGCGAGCTATTTTTCTAGTTGGCTCTAACGGTTTAACAGGTGAAATCTCTCAATAAAATTGCAAACCCTTAAGGAAAGACATCTCACATGGGCCATCTGAATCACTGCATCATCTATGGACAGGTTCTGGGCTCATACTGAGTCATAAATAAGTCCAGATTGAAGTGAACTAAACTGAAAGCAGAATTCCTAGGTGGCAACCCAAATCCTTGGCATCAGAAAGACCCCAGAGCAGAGTGATGACGAGCTTGGGCTCTGCAGTCAGCTGCGCCTGGTTTAGGCCCTGCTCTGCCCCTCGCTGGCTGGGCCACCTTAGGTTTCCCCCTCTGTAAAGTGGAGGTAATGGACCTATTACTCCCAGACCAGCTCCTCTGCTCAACTAGCTGTATGCTAATGGGCACCAGGGAAGTTTGCAACCTTAATCACCCTTGTCCACCCACTGGCAAAGGATACAACTAAATGCTAAGCAAAAAGGGGGAAGAAGGTGACAGTCTTGGTAAAAACTGGACAATGCAAGCTAGATGCAAATAGAAGTTAAATTTGCGGATTGTCCATCCTGGGCTCACCTCTGCTGGGGAGCGTAAGGGCTGACTCGGTGTGTGTCTGGGTGTGGGTCTATATATAGGCACTTAACAAGCATTCAAGTGGGTCTAGCATTGTTAAGTTAGAGCCAGGGTCATTTCTGGCCCTTCCAGAGTTAGAAAATAATTTATAAAGGTGATCCTAAATTACTCCATAATTTCAAATCAGAAGAATTCCCAACTTACTTTCTAAGTCCTCTCTGCCACGTTTGGCAACTGGGTCATCACATAATTACAAGAGCGTAAAGCAGAACAGTGCAAATCCTGTTTACCCAAACGGCTCTGGCTCCTGCGTCTCGTTCCCAGGTCATTAAAGAGGCTACGTTCACTGCTTTCAATCAGTGCCTCTCGCTGCCCAATCCTGTCCATTCAGTACAAAACATAACCCCTCCAAAGAGGCACCCCGTCTCCTCTTCTTTCCTTAGCCATCCTCACATCAGCCCAAAGAACGTGGCTGATTTAACGGGGGTCCCTTCTGTATTTCTCACATCGCTTCATCACTATTCTCCTAGCCTGAGACTACAATCAAGATGAAACTGCACCCTTGACTCCTTAGTGCTAAATGAGAATGAGCTGCTCCCGATGGCTATCAAGACGAGCAAGAACCCCTCCAAGAACCCTGGAAATGGTGCAGGAAACGGCTGAAACTCAAAAGTGAGACAGGTTATGGCATAATGCAAAGGCATCTGCCTAGCAGAGTAAAAAATGCTTTTCTGGGCAACAACACACAATGACTGGCAAAGGAAAAATGTGGACGGAGACTTGGATCTCCACACAGCATCATTTGCAGGAATGAGGGAATGGGAAGTGGCTTCTGAGGAAAAGTATGACCCAGGATGATGTGGAATCCTGGGCTCATTAGCTAAGCTGGGCTCATCACCCTAAGGGAGGTGAGCTGCCCACAGAACAAGGTCACGCCACTCCCCGGCAGGTGTGGCTAAGCAGAGGCAACCACGGTCCTCCAGCAATTTCCTGGCCCAGGGTGTCCTACCTACAGGAACCAGGGCAAGCTGTTACCCTCCTCATCATGGACACTGCTGCCCATCTACCGATGATGTGCGGGGCACGGGGAGTGGTGGAGGTTAGGTGGTTTGGGGGGGCTTATTGGCAGGAGAGAGAAGAGAGGATGTTTTATCCTAATCAGTCCCACAGGATGCTCCTGGGAGAGCTGTCCTTCAAGGTCATGGCGTGGCAGGAAATGGACGCCTGGCCAGACGCCTATGAGGGGCTCTCATAGGTGGAGCGAGCCTCCACCAGCCGGGAGCTGCTCCATGAGTCAGTTCATCCTAAGTGCGGGGGAGGTTTACACAGAGCCAGTAAGACTCATGCAGAGAGGAGGGAGTAAGTACTAGGGAAGAAGGAAGGAAGGGAGGGAGGAACTTCTAGGAGGGGCTTTGAACATGCCTCGCCCACCCCACCTCCGCGCCTCTGTCTGTTCCCCCGGGAACTCAGACCTGGCCCTCTCCTCTCTGCCTGCCCAACCCTCCTCATGCCCCAAGGCCTTCCCGGTCCAACGTCTTCCCAGAGTATTTCAACTCCCTTGGATCACCCTGTTGCTGAACCCTTACCACTAGTAAATGTTACAACCTACTTGCAACCTCAGTTGTGTCCCTAGCGATCCCCAAACCACGTCCCATCTCCAGCCACCTGCTGCACACTCCTCGTCAGCTCTCAGTTGACCCGGGACGTCTACTGGCCTCTGTAAAGACTCTGAGCTCTGCTAACCGTGCCACGACTCTCGCGTGGGCCCACTGCTCCCGTGCAGTTTCTGGGGCACAGAAGGTTAGGAACCTGCACCCACGCCCCCTGCTCCAGGTCTTGCCTTGCTGAGATCACGGCCCCTTGCTTGCTCCAGGACGACACGTGCCTGCCCCTGCCCTTCCTCTGGAAGGCCCCGGGACCTTGGCCTCAGCCTGGGCGAGGGCAGTCCTTCACCCTCCTCACACACAGACCCCCACACACCTGCACCCCCCCATCTGAGATCTGAATGGGTCTCGAGGAAAGATGATAGCGTGTACTGGCAAAGGCCGTCGGAGGGGAAACTCACCGGTAAATGCCCAAGGAGAGGCGTGATGCTGTCAGAAACGTAGAGGATGCTGCCGTCTGTTGTCACCGCGATGACGAAACCATCTAATGCCTGTGGAAAATGCCACAGTTGAAGACTCCTCAGTCATGCTTTTATGCAGGAGGATGCCAGCAAAGCAAAGGACCCCACGTTACGACACTGACTTTGTTTTGTAACCTTAGAGTATTTCCACGAATAACCCCATAGCACTCTTCTGCCTTACAGGATGGTTTCCTATGCAGAATTTGTCTAGCCAAGGCAAAGCGCTGGCAAAAGCACTTTGAGGCTCAGTGAAAAATCTGACCTATTGGTATCATGAAACAAAATTTAGTCGTGGAAATTACCTAAGTAGTTTTAATGAGCTGGATCAGAAGTACCATAATTACTGACAACATGTCAGTGATATGTTATGGTCTCCGCCTCCTACTCCCAATACCACTTTGAGTTCAGGGTAAACATTTACTGAGAGATATCAGATCTAAGAGATGCATTAAAAACAGAAAGTGAGCCTGTTGGTCAGGGTAGACCTCTGCCTACATTCACTGCCACAGGAGAAATACCCTGAAGGAACTGTTGGTAAAGAACATTCAAGTTATTCCACAGAAGTAACAAGTTAGGACCAGGGAGGAAGCACTAGATCCAGAAGGATTTCAGAAGGTCTGAAAGATGTATTCGTTTAAAAGATTCTGAGTGCCTACTGTATGCTCTGCTCTGAGTGCTCGTGGCAGAAAAGAGAAGGTTTAGGCAGTCAATGTTTTCTCACAGACGCTTCTGCTGTTTTGTTTTTAGATGCCTTATTGGATGCTCATAATGCTTTCATAAGACACAAGTGCAAGTTGATTTCTAAAATTCAGACTATGTAATTCAGCAGAGAATGGAGCCATACTGGCAACTGGCTATTCCGGTGCACCGATGAGATGAGAGATGAAAAGCAAAGCCCACCTCACCAGAAAACAAATCTTTGTGGGAGTAATACGCTCGGGTGGACCGTCACTGTAAACCTATCACTGTTGCTTTACTGACTGAATCTCTCAAATACCATCTTCCCCGAGTATGGGAAGTTTTCCACTTTGGGGAAAAAAAAAACGAAACAGAAATATGTGCTTAGAAAGTTCTGGAAACATTTTGTATGCACTCAGCTAGATCCTCCCAGGGTGTTACTGAGGATCTGCACAGCCAAAAGGGCAGTAATGCTGTCAAGTTAGGAGGGTATGGCTAAGTACACTGCCACAGCAGAAATGGGAAATAGTCCAGTAACTGTGCGTGAAGGGCACCATTGCAACGTGCCAAAATGGGAGAGTTCTTTTTACCCGGAAAATTAACACTAGGGTCATTTATTATTTTACACTTACATATTACAGGATTTAAGACTGAAAAATATATTGAAGTACATTTCTAAGCAGACCTCATCCTTTTGGATTACATCAGTGGGTTTCAACTCTGGGCAATTCTGGCCCCCAGGGGACATCTGGCAATGTGTGGAGACATTTTTGATTGTCGCCCCTGGGGTGGGTGCTGCTGGCCTCTAGTGGGTACAGGCCAAGGATGCTGTGAAACATCCTACAATGCACAGGACGCCCCCACATCAAAGAATTATTGGGTCCAAAATGTCAATAGTGCCAAGGTTGAGAAACTCTGGTTTAGGTGTGTGGGTCACGGTGAACAGAGAGGTACATCCTAGTAACTTTTATTTCTTTTTCCTTCAAGAATTTTTCTACGTTGTTTTTAAAGTTATATTTGCAGTGCTCCTGGAGGTGAATTTTTTTTAAGAGGTGGGGGGACTGGTGATGATGTCAGCTGAACCTGTTTGGAAAAAGTAAACTAAAATACTGGAAAAAGTAGGAGCAATACAAATTATCTTCCTGCACAGTCAGCCTATGCCCTCTTGAATTTGTAAAGCAAGTGGGTGTTAAAAAGCTGAAGTTATTTATAGATGGAAGATAACTTTCATCAGGTCCTTGGCATTTTCCATCAACTGCACTGAGTCACTGCTTTAAGAACACTTGCTTTAGAAGTCCCATCGGCAGCATTTGAGAGCGACTCAATAGAATGTGATTGCAAAGTGATGTGCCCCTCTCAGTGTAAAGGTGACTCTGACAGGAGCTTCAGGGATGCCAAAGGTGCCAGAAGGGCCCCAATTTTATACCTGCCACACACCAGGGGGAAATGAAACCCCGCCTTTCCGACAATTCCCGATTCTGGTGGGATGTTTTTTGCGTTCTCTGGGACAACCTCTGGGCTAAGAGAAAAGATCGCTGTAGCTTTTCTGGATAAAATTCAGAAGTACCACAAACTCCCTAATGGCTGGTCAACAAAAGCTTTCCTCCTTTTGTTCAAATGCCTGTGGCTACAATATTCGCCAGCTTACACTTCACCAGCTTGGCTGGTCTGCAACCAAGTCATTTTCGTTCTTTCAGACTCCACATCTGTGTGAGTCCTCTTGGAGTCCGGTCTGGGGCCTTTTTGAGAGAAGAGGGAAGAGGGAAAGATTCACATCCAGAAGGCACCAGCAGGTCAGTTCCCTAGGGCCTGAGGGGTTCTGTCCTCACTTAAAACGGGAACCTCCTGGTGACCAACGACACGGTGTCTGGACTCCTCATGTTCCCTGAAGTGGCTCTGAAAAGGGGGCAGGATGTGCAGTTGGAATGGGACACACACTATGAAGAAGCTGTGTAGTGGAAAATGACAACATCATCCTGCGGGGGCCACCGCGGGGGCCACCGCCAGGGCTCAGACCCTCAGGGAGAAGACATGAGAGGTTCCAGTGACTCATCACTCAGGTCTTTGTCTACTCAAGGGCAGCAGAAGCCTAAAACAGCCAGAGAGAAATCAAAAGTACTAGTCGGTGGGTTTCCTAGGCTCCTCAAAGCTGCAATTCACCCAGGAGGCCCACTTGTTGTACAGGCTTAATTTCAGGTCCAGTTCACTCATCAAGCATGATTTCCTTTAGATACGCCTCAAGGAGTTTATCCTGGGAGCAGGGGACAGTGCATAAAGAACATCCATACCAATCTAAAATCTTCTTTTTCCAGAAACTCCAGTCTCCTGAATCTTAGTCCTGCCTTGCAGCCCAAATATTTATCCATTTTTAATTTTATGAAAGTCGTGTTACCCCCACCACTTTTGATACCTTGAAACTCACTGGGAAAAAAAAAGGTTGTGCTCTTAAAAAGGCTCTTAAAAAGAGGCTAGGCGCTATGGAGTTATGCATTTTAACTGCTTTTCCCTAAGAATTAAAAGATAAATGATTTATGCAAAGTAGTATAATGATGCATTAATTCAACAGTATATTTCACAAGCTGCTCTAAATTTAATACACTTAAAATGCATTGCTTCTGGAAAAAGTTCTGTATTTTCTTTAAATATAGTTCACATGTAGATTTAAGTACCTTTCATTTTATGCAAATGCTCATTAATGCGTTTATATTTCATAATATTTGGACATCTTCATTCTGGCATTTTCTTACTGCAGTACTTTCTGTTTTCTGCATAGTTAATTTATGTAAATTAAAGTTTACATCAGTCTTATATAGGCACATAAGATGAGATACAGAAAGATTTATCCCAAGAAGCCACTCTCCAAAAACCCTGCCAGGAACCACTGACACACAGCCAGCGTCTAACTTCCTTTTGCTGAACTCATCTGTCCCAGTTTTCCTCTTCTCACTCAAGGGCCCAGACATGCCACGTCTGGGGCTTTCTCTCTCCCCACTGTCATGTCCATATACTCCCAGTCTTATCCCCAATTTAGAAGTCAGAGCACCCAGCCAGAAGTTTTTGTCGCCTTTTCCTTGTCTGTACAGAGGGTTTTCACTCATCTGACATTGAGGAAGACCACTCACTCAGATCAGCCAGATTTCCTCAAATACAACCCTGCAGAAGGGCGTGGGCACCTCACTTTCTAGAGGAAGAAACGTGAGCATCTTTCTCAGCACAGAAATGGCGTGTGCTGGGTGGGGAGGCACAGGGTTACCTATGGTTGTGACACCCGTATGTCACGTTGACGTAATATGAGCTCAAATTTAACTTTAAAAGAAGACTTTTGTTTTCAACATGTGTTCTCCTAAGGGAAAAAACATAATTATTGCATTCTAAAGAGGAGACTCTCTGAGCCAAAAGACAGTGCAGTCTTTTGTCCCTCCTTCCCCTTGCTGTACCTACCTCCAACCCCGGCCCCTCCCGGCTCCCCCTCCCGCCCCAGGTGTCCTCTGGTTGGGAGACCATGAGTGAGCCCGCCCTGCAGTCACTGCCACTACAGGACGCACTCACATTCAGTTTTGGGATCCTTGCTTACACCGCCCAACTCAGTAGCCAAAACATAAGCAACAGCATGCAGAGCTTCAAAAGGGGATCTGTTTCAAGACCTCTTTCCAGGGTCAAGAACAGTTGTTTACTTTGGGCACAGGTCTTATCTGGAACAAGCAGCCACCCTGTGATTTGCAGCCCATTAAGCTAATTTGAAAGTGCATTTCACCTCTAACATCAGCTGGGTGAATTCTTCGTTACTGAGGAATGAAGGCTTCCAGTCCTGCTGAATGTCACAGATTTCCGTTTGCGCTGAGACTTCTAAAAGAAACAAAAATAAGCTGTTATATTCAAAGGCACCTAGAAATTGGAATGAACAAATGAAGCACATGTAATTCTGTGTAAACCTCTGTGTAGTTTAATTAAAGAAGCCAATATAAGCAGATACGTTACCCTGATTTCCAAGGACTGTGAACTTTGCATGTAATGGGCTTAAAAACACCTCTTGATGTTTTTTCACATCCTTTAATGAGGCTTCGGGGAGGAGTGTACCCGACCCTCTGCACGGGTGTGGTGCCTGCTATTAGCAGGTGGCACCACGCCCTTGGATTTCTACATGACACAGCCCAACCTCAGCGGCTGGAGTGCAGTGGCTGCCACCTCTCAAGGAACAACGAAGGAACAGGAACGAAGCCTGGGATGGTGAGACTTGTTCTTAAACTGCTGCTGCATGGTTGAGGCGAAGCAAAACACTTTAGAGATCTGGGATTTTCAAAATTCCAGAAACATCTTAGGCTGGTGGTAAATAACCTACTGTGTCTATGCAGAATGTAATGTGGTTTTCAGCATTTCCAGGTACTGAAGTATAATGTGCTATACAAATACGTGTTACTTAGTTGCTTTTAAAGCCAAAATTTACTCTTCTCAAAACTCTGTTGGGTTAATCTATAGTTTGCTTGTTTCTGTGACTACGTTTACTGAAGACATTATTCATGTTTGTAAATTCAGTAGTCATTGGTCTCCAGAGCACTCCTTAAATACTCTAGTTCTTTTGCATTTTTGAAAGGGTATTTTGTTTTACTACTAAAATATCTCTGATCAGATTATTACAGAGAACTCAAATGCTATATCGAATATGTTTGTTTTTCCTTAAGTTTATCCTCCATCTTTACCCAACATTTTGCTCCACTTTATGTAGTAAGAGGTCTCTTTAGGGATTATTTTCTTGGTGCTAAGAAAAACCTAAGTACATCTGATTCATTTCCTACCTCAGAGAAAAAACCTAACCTGTTTAACAACCTCCTGGAAAATGCAAATTGTTCAGGCAGATAATGTATATACTTTAAACTAGGAGAAACACCGAAAGGCTTCCTCCTTCCACCCTGTGCTGAGGGCAATCTCTCTTACGTGGAGCGTGGAGAATGCATTCTGCCGTTGGAGTGAATGAATTGGAATGAATTCAGAGGTTACTCGTGAATGAAGATGATGTGAAGGGCTGAGCTACACACGTGACTGTGTAAACCTTCACTTGTTCAATCACCCAATGTTCCCTGCAGTGCTTGGCTCTCCCGGGATGGTTTCTGCCTTGAGATTTCAGAAAGAACAAGTTGCTGCTGTCACTGTGGCCAGAGGCTGCACATGGTGAAATGCATCTGGGGAAGCCAAGGCAGGGCACTACACACAAGTCCGGGCCAGTGTTCCTTCTGGGGTGCCAGCCGAGGCAAGGAAGAAGGGTGAAACTTCCAGTTCCTCACACAAAGGGTGGCCGCAGTTGGACCACTTAGAAAAGAGATGGACCAAGGATATGCTGCTAAATTAACCCCATAAAAGTCCTCCCCCTTTTCCCAACCCATAAACTCATCTGTAAAATTCTTTTGACCATTAGGGTCAAACTGTAGATTAATTGTCCAGAAGAGTCCTTCCAGTAGTCCAAATTTGATTTAGATAGAGGACCATTCAACTTAAGGGTAAAGGAAAATGAAAGACCTCTTTCTTCTACATAAGTAACTTTCAGGTCATCCGGTATGACTGGACACTTTCAAAACAACAGCATAATAATACCGAAAGCAGCCATTTCATTCACTTTGTATTTCAACAATCTGATTATCGTCATTGGAAGTTAAGGCTCACCTCATAGCACATTAAAACATATGTTAGATAAAACCTCTCAAAGCAGGCAAAAACGTGTTAAACAGGGAAATAAAATTCAGTGTTATAATCATGCCTCCACTGGCATTTGATGTGACCAATAGCATAAGCTACAGGTGACAGGCAGGATGAGCGAAGAGCTGTGGTCAGAGTGGCTTCTAAATAGCAGGGGAAATAAAACCACCTGGGAGCAATTTTTGCAGGAAAACATTGCAATGAACAGCTGAACCCCCAAATTCTACTATAGTGTAAGTTGTAGTTGTGGCCTAGAGTGCTTACCCCCAGTTGCTCCTCGTATATGTGAACAAGGAGCAGTGTGTCATTGGGCTACATGTAGTCAGAGAAAAGCCTGGAAAATGGAGCTGAAACTCTGCTGGGCTGGGTAAATACTACCATATTCAACAGAGACATTTCCTCTTGTTCTGCAGCCTTCTCCACCGCCCCACCCCCCATCTACTAGGGCAGAAAAATTGAAGGAGCGTGAATGAAGAGTAGGATTTGATGTCGAGATAAAATTACATTAAATCAGCTGGAGACTCACACACAGGAAGAGGAAAGTGTGCAGGTCAGCCTGGCCCTGTAGAAGTGACATTTAGATGGATGTGGATAAGGATGTTCAATATACTTTGCCATTTACATAATTTAGGGGTTTCTCTCCATAATAGATACTGATAACACAAAACTTCTCTACAAATGGCAGATTCTCATTTTGATTTGGATCACTTCAAAGAGAATAAGTATACATTTCAGGATCAAGGTTTATCTCCCAAGCTGAGAAAACTGAAAGATTTGAGGAAAGAGCTCAATAATTACAACGACTACCTGGACCTAATCATCTTTTCTTACTTCTCATGTGGCCTCCCTTTATCATGAAGGCAGAAAGCACATCTAAACCCACAGTTCTTAACCGTGGCTGCACATTGGAAAAACCTGGGGGGCTTTAAAAATATGGATGCTTGGGCCTTACCCAGTGGTGTGCTGGTAAAAGGCTCTCCATCTTGACAAAAGAAAGCCCTGATTTGTCGTGTTTGCCCACCTCTGTGGTATAAATACTCCCATGGTAGCTGATTTTAAGCTGTCAACTTGATGTCAACTGGCTTGCAAAACTCCTGAAAATTTAAGTCATTTTTCGCCAGCTGGTATGATCCCACTCCAGCTCACCACTGGGGTTCTACCCCTAGAAATTCTGATGTATTCATCTGTGAGGTGTCACCCAGTTATATGCAGTTTTAAAAGCTCCTCGGGCAATTCTAATGGGCAGCCAAGGGTGAAAACCAGTAGTCTAAATGGCCACACTAATGAACAGCTATAGGGCAGCTAGGATATCAATATCTACAAGAGTCCCATAAATCACCTCTTGTGGGGAAGCAGTATGGTGTAGTGTTAAACACCAGACTCTGGAGACAGACTGCCTGGTATTCATATAACGGAATACTATATACCAATTAAAATACCATATACTTTTCTGGCTATCTGACTTGGGTGAGTGGCCTAACATCTCTGCCTCAGTTGCCTCACCTGTGAAATGGCACTAACTCAAAGGGCTGCTGTGAAGCTCAGATGAGGTACTATACATAGAACCCTGAGAACAATGCCTGCCTGGCTCATGGTGAGCCCTGAACAAATGGTGACCACGTTATTTTCTATCCTGTTGCAGATGCTTGTGGAGTTCATGTCCATTTGGATTATAAGTAAAGTTATTGCTTGTTTTTGTTTTTTGATTTAATCCAAATTTTGGTCCAATCATTACATTTCTACACAAAATCTTCCATGGATCTTCTGTTTTCTTTTGAATATGGAATCTTTTGAATATGGAATAAGGATGAGTGAGATCCTGGAATGGTCCTGGTTGCATTGAAGCGGGCTGTGTGGAGCAGGCCTTAGTCACATGAAAAAGACAGAGACAGGCACTCTGGGTGTTAGGAGGCTGCATTTCCACTGACTGATCCTTTCCAGGTCCCAGATTGGACGATTCTGTAATTCCACAGCGGACGGAGCCCAGCATAAATGTCACACTGACGAACTTGATCCCAGCTGTCCTATTTAACAGCTGTCCTGCTGCTCAGTGGCAGTGACCTAGTTTGAGTAATTTGCACAAAATATCTTAGTAATCAAACCAACCTGCTATTTCACTTGGCTAAATCATTATTTAGGAAACGTAACCATTCTGATTAAATTATTGGGGCAATTGAATATTGCTGCAACACTTTATTCCAATCCTGCTTGATTGTTCTTCCCTGACTTTTAACAAAAGCAATTAACATATTCTTTACTCTCCCTTGGGCAGCTTTGGGGGAAAAAAAGGAGGATACATCATTACTGTCACATTTTTAATAGGTACATACAATTATTAAAGAAATAATAAAAGAATAACAAGTATAATGAAACTTTCTAACATCCCAGCCCTGCCCTCTTCCATGAAATCATCTTGTCTAGAAAAATGTTCAGTGAAAGAGAAGCCTCACTATAAGCACAGAAGAACTGTAATTATCTCCTCAATAATCTGACACTTCTGACTTTATTATGTTGGGTGTCATGGTTAAGGAATACAGAATTCTGTTCTTCTTGCTTGTTAATAGCTCCTGAACCCTCTTAACTCTTCTCCAATTTTTTTGTACCATCCATAGGTGAGTGGCAGGGCAGCGTGATCAGTGTTAAGAGAGAAAAGAGTTTGAAGAAGAGTAAAACGGAGAGAGGATGATTTGAAAAAGACATAAGTTCAAGGATGGATTCAAGTGGTAAAGTCATATAGTGGAATACTATATACCAAGGAAAAAGAACTAGCCACACCACTGGAAGAACACAGATTAATCACACAGACATCATGTTTATAATGTACGCTTCCATCTGAACAAGGTCCCAACAGGTAAGACCATCTCCGGTATTAGAAGTCAGAATAGAGATTACCTTTGAGGAAGGCAGAAGTAGATAGGAAGTGGCATCTACTGGGGAAGCTTCTATTTTTTGACCTGGGTGTTAGTTTCCTGGCTGTTTATTTTCTGATAACCAATTCAATCGTACAGTTATGATCTGTGTGTTTTCTGTATGTGTGTTATACTTTTATAAAGTATTAAAAAGTTAAGAAAAAGAATGGAGTGCTGGTATAACTGGATATCCACATGCAGAAGGATGAATTTCAACTCCCTACCTCACTCTATATACAAAAATTAACTCAAAATGTATTGAATAGCTAAATGCTCAACGTATAGCTTAGATCTAAATGCTTAATTTTTAGCTTAAAACTATAAAACTCTTAGAAGAAAACACAGATGTAAATCTTCATGACCCTAGATTAGACAATGGTTTCTTAGATATGATACCTAAAGCACAAGCAAGCAACAACAACAAACAGAGAAACTGGACTTCATCAAATTTGAGTTTTGTGTGTCAAAGGACATCACTAAGAAAGTGACAAGACAACCCACAGGATGGGGGAAAATATTTGCAAATTATATATCTGATAAGGGTCTAGTATCTAGAGTATATGAAGAAGTGTTACAACTCAACAAAAAGATAAATAACACAATTTAAAAATCGGCAAAGGATTTGAATAGACATTTCTCTAAAGAAGAAATGCAAATGGCCAAAAAGTACATGAAGCGATCATTAAAAGGTCAACATCATTAGTCATTAGGGAAATGCAAATCAAAACCACAATGAGATACCACTTCACACCCACTAGGAAGGCTATAATAAATACACATACATGCACACACACACAACCAGACAATAACAAATGTTGGTGAGGATGTGGAAAAACTGGAACCCTCATACATTGCTCCTGGGAATGTAAAATGGTGCAGCCACTGCGGAAAACAGTTTGGCAGTGCCTCAAACAGTTAAACACTGAGTTACCGTTTGACCCAGCAATTCCACTCCGAGGTATATACCCAAGAGAACTGAAAACATAGATCTACTCAAAAATTTGTACATGAATGTTTATAGCAGCGTTATTTTTAACAGCCAAAACATGGAAACAGCCCAGTATCTGTTAACTGATAAAGAGATAAATGGAATGTGGAATATCCATACAATAGAATATTATTTGGCCATAAAATGGAATGAAATACAGATACTCGCTAAAATACGGATGCTAAGTGAAAGAAGCCAGAATCAAAAGACCACATACTGTATGATTCCATTTATATGAAATGCCCAGAATAGGCAAATCTATAGAGACAGAAAGTAGATTAGTGGTTGCCAGGATCTGGAGGGAAGGGGAAATGGGAAGTGACTGCTAATGGGCACAGGCTTTCTTTTTGGGATGATAAAATTAGATAGTTGCACAACTTTGTGAATATACTAAAAACCACTGCACTATAAACTTTAAAATGGTGCATTTTATGGTATGTGAGTTATATCTCAATAAAAAATGGATTTGACATTAAGTAAGTTAATGAATTTCAATTTATTTTTTTCACAGTGTAACTCAGAAGGCCAAAGAGCTTAGGGGCAGTGGCAGAGAGGGTTCAAGAAACAAGTACAGTCTGATTCAGTGGACAATGAATACTTGGGCATTGCGTTTCTTCAGGGCTGAATGAGAAATGCTTGCTCTAGACATTTTTAATCAAACGCTCCCACTGTTAACATCACTCCACTCGGGCTGGGTGCTACCTGGGAAGATGCTCTGGATTCTCTCCTCTGGCTAAGAGAGCAGTTTGGGAGGCGAGTGTTCTGTCCCAAACCTGCCGGAGATGGAGCTATCCCAGAGGGCGGAGTGCCTTCAAAAGAGGAAGCCTATGACCGAGGAGGTCGGGCTCTGCTGGGGAGAGAGAACCAAGCAGGACGACCAGCTTGATGACATCAGCGCCAAATGGAAAGGGCAGCAACAGAATAAAAAGGGACAGAAGCGTAACCTTTACCATTGTGTTTCTGCAAAAATCCGATGACCTTTTCCAGCACGGTGGTTTTGTCCATTTTCCGCGTGTTGCCAGGGAGCATGGAGCTAAGCTCTTTGATGAGAACATTGAACTGGTCCCTACGCTTCTTCTCAGACTTGTTTCGAGAAGCTCTGTAAACACAAAACGCACAGGTTACTGGAACATTCCACCTCATATACGCTTTATTATGAAATGGAAGTACTTTTCTATCAGAGTGTGTTCTGTTGTGATCACTTATCAAAACTCTTTCAGGGAAACTAACATTTGCCACATTTCAGAGCTGAGTAATGGGGACAGAAAAATGTTTTGCTAGACTCTTGGCCTCAAAGAGAGACAGTATTAATAAGTAAGTTCTGACTCAGATGCAAAAGCTTACACAGATTAGCCCCGTCGCCAGATGCTGCTCTCTCTGACTTCAGAGGGCTTTAACCTTCAGGGAGCAAACGACAGGACGGCTGCAGCCCAGAGGAGTTCGCTCTGACAGCCCTTCCTTAGGCTTAAACCACGTCCACTCCAACCCAGGGCACCTGGCCGTGGGCTCCAAGTCATGAGGGGTAGCCAGGTGTACCCAGCGTCCAGCAGAGAGCCAGTGCCACCCAGGGCATATGTCCTGGCCACCACCCCAGAGCTCATTGTCCTGTTGAGGAGACAAGGCACACCTCACAAGAAACCGTCTGTAAGCCATGCCCGACTCCTGGCCATTGTATGACGGGGACCACACATGGCTGTCAAGCTGCTAAGAGCAGCCAAACCCTTTCAAAAATGACATGGAGGGGGGCCGGCGCGCTGGCGCAAGTGGTTAACTGCGTGCGCTCCGCTGCAGCGGCCCAGGGTTCGCCGGTTCAGATCCCGGGCGCAGACCGACGCACCGCTTGTCAGGCCATGCTGTGGGGGCGTCCCATATAAAGTGGAGGAAGATGGGCACGGATGTTAGCCCGGGGCCAGTCTTCCTCAGCAAAAAGAGGAGGATTGGCAGATGTTAGCTCAGGGCTGATCTTCCTCACACACACAAAAAATGACGTGGAGGAACTTAAATGCATATTACTAAGTGAAAGAAGCCAATCTGAAAGGCTACATACTGCATGATTCCAAATATTTGACATTCTGGAAAAGGCAAAACTATGGAGACGGTAAAAAGATCAGTGGTTTCCAGGGGTTAAGAAGGAAGGAGAGATGAACAGGTGGAGCAGAGGATTTTCAGGGCAGTGAAACTACTCTGTATGATACGATAATGATGGATACGTGTCATTATACATTTATCCAAATCTGTAGAAAGCACAACACCAAGAGTGACGCCTAATGTAAACTGTGGACTTTGGATGATTATGATGAGTCAATGCAGGTTCATCAATTGTAGCAAATGTACCACTCTGGTGGGGATGTTGATAATAGGGGAGGTTGTGCATATGTAGGGATGGGTATATATGGGAAATCTCTGTACCTTCCATTCAGTTTTATTGTGAACCTAAAATTGCTCTAAAAAAATTAAGGCTGCTAAGAAAAATGACACACTACACTGGACACCTATAAAGAAATCAAAGTGGAGCTGCTTAGTTTGACGGGAGGGGATCTCCTTCAAGCCACCGAGGCACTTCTGAGGAAGCCTAGGACCCTGGGAACTTGAATAGGAAATCATGGCTACAGGGGCCACTCTAGTAGACACCAACCAAACACGTCATAGAAAGCCCGCCTGTGCCCTGAGGATGCCTGGGAAGCAGCACCGCTCCAGAGGCCTTGGTCCTCAATGACACCCCAGTCCCAGGGCTGGCTCTCAGCTCCACAGGACCAGCCCCTCATCAATAGTCAGCTTATTCAAAGGCGGTCCAAGGCTGGGAAAGCTGACCCACCTCTCCCAAATCCACCCAGGACGGACTTGTTCTAGAAAGTCAGCTGAGAGAAAGCAGGGGCCACAGCTGCAGGGCTCATCAAACGTGGTCTGCCTGCTGATCCAGGCAGCCTGGGGCCTGGGAACAAGGTTCCTGGGGGAGCTATCACTCATCAGGAGGCCCCTGGGCAATGTGCCCTCAGGCAGGGTACTGGTGGCTTGTGACAAGTCAGCGAGTTCCCATCAGAGGGATTTACCTCTCTTGGGGTAGGTATCAATGTCTACAGGTATCCGTATCAATAAAGATTCTGCTTCCCCAAAGAGCCCTTGGAAGCATAGCGACACATCCCAAATGTCCTTTCCTAGATGCCGTGATGGCCACAACCACTCTGTTTGCCTTTGCCTCATTACACACAACCTGTCTTTATTTCCACACACCCATTTACAAGCCACATTTTGCTGATTCTCTCTCAGTTTGGGCTGTTTCCTGATAATATCTGAGGCAGTTCCTCAAAGCTCACCTAAGTGCATGGTCACTACCCTTACCTAAGGGTCTCTTCCCTTTCCTGACTTTTCCCTCATTTCCATCCTTCTTGGATGTTTGGAAGGACCTGGAATCCTTTAGAGGTTTCTACAAAGGCCTCCTTTCTCGTCGAGGAACTATCTTCACATGTGCTCTCTCACAATCACAGGCTGGCTGCAGGTGTAGCAGTAAGACGCTCGGGGCGGGGGGGGGGTGCTTTTTGCTAGTCCAGGTGAAAAACATAGTGTTCAAACACACGGGAGAGAAGAAAGGAACCTTTTAACTTTCTGAGTGACTGTCTATGCATTATAAATAATTTTTTGGCCTAGATTTTAAAGAGTGACATGCAACCTCCTTAGCCAAAAAAAGCTCTGTTCCTGCCCTAGTTTGCCCATTATAAATTATTTGTGAGCAGATAACACCCAGCTTGTTATTACTCTGTTCTCCTCTTCAATGGGTGTAATGACAACGAACATGGCCTGGCAGAGAACACGATGAAGGCTTATATCATTAGTGACAGAAACACAAGCTTGTTTCCATCAGCCTCTGCCTGGGACACACTGTGGTGCCCACTGGAGATCGGTCAACGTCAGCTGGGTCTGCAACTCTGAGGCAAGAGGAAGAAAACGAGGCTCGAATGACCTTATGGCCAATAAGGAGGTCTGCTCGCCAGGCCCCGAGACCACCACACATAAGGTGTTGGGACAAGTTGAAAGGCACTTAAACAATCAGCCTTTGAGTTTGTTTTTTCTTTTAAGGCATTATTTACATTCAATAAAATTCACCTACTTTAAATGTATAGTTTGATGAATTCTGGTAACTTGTAACCACCACCAAAACCCAAATATAAAACATCCCTCATCTTAAAAGGTTTTCTCCTGCATCTCTGTGGTTGATCTCTCCTAGACGACAGCCATAGAAAATTAGTTTTCTAAGTTTCAGTCAATTGGTTTTGCCTTTTTTAGAATTTCACATAAATGGAATCAGATAGTATATAGTCTTTGATTTTCATTTAGCATAAAGTTTTTGAGATTCATCCATGTTGTTGCATATATTAATATTTCATCCCTTTTGACTGTCAACTAGTGTTCCATTGTATGACTATGCCACAACATTTGAGTTGTTTCCAGTTTGGGGGTATTAAGAATAAGGCTGTTCTGAACATTCATGTCCATGTGTAGACCAGGCATCCATTTCTCTTGGGTAAATACATCAGCATGAATTTGCTGGGTCATATGATAAATGTATGTTTAACATTATAAGATACTGCCATCCTGTTACACGAAGTGGCTGTACTGTGTTTGCATTTCCACCAGCAACTTATGAGAGTTCCGGGTACTCCACCTCCTTGCCAACACTTGGTATTGTCAGTCTTTTCTCATGTTAGCCATTGTAGTGTTATCTCATTGTGGTTTTAATTTGCATCTTTTCTGATGACTAGTGACGTTGAACATCTTTTCACATACTTAACGCCCTTTCATACATCTTCTTCTGTGGAGCGGCTGTTCAAACCTTCTGCCCATTTTTCAATTGGATTGTTTGTCTTCTTATCGAGTTTTAGAGAAAAAGAAAGAGAGAGAGGAAGGCTGGAAGCAAGAGAAGGGGTGTGTGTGTGTGTGTGTGTGTGTTTTAAATATACATTGATACAAGCCTCACCCTTTCATTTTGAATGCAGGACTCAAAGAGCCCCAGGTTATCTTTTCTGGTCTCCCTCATGGGACATCTGGTTACATAGATAACATCTGCTGGGCACTTACTATGTTAACTGGCGCTATTTTGAGTGCTTTACATATATTAATTCCTTTAATCCTCTCAACGACCCTTTAAGGGAGGGGCACTGTTATGATTCCCATTTCACAGGTGAAGAAGCTGAGGTACTGAGACATCACACGACTAGGAAGTGATGGAGCATGCTGGCTCAGGTGCCCATGCCGTGAATCACTGCACTCTCCTACCTCCTTCTACAGCTCCCTCCAAAACCATCATGATGCCATCTGTTACGGAGCTACGCACCAGTGTTCTGGGAGCACCGAACTGAGAGTGACTTAGCACAGAAACTAAACACGCTCTGCAGAAACACGGCACTGTATGCTAACAGGATGACAGTGTTTGTGTTCTGGGAAGGCCACTGCAGAAAATCAAGGGAAGATTTTGACCTCAGCTCCAGCTCCTAGGAGGAGCAGCCCTTCCCACTGCCATGCTCGTCTGTGGTTGTTGCGACTGCTGCTCACCAAATATTTTTGGTTTCCTTCTAGACAGATTAGGGTTGCATTTCCCTGCCCCTAGAACTTAGGCGTGGCCATATGACTTGCCTTGGCCAAGGAAATGCAGGCAAAAATGGCACGTGTCTGTTCCAGGTACAAGCATGGAGAATCAGTGTAGAATCTGCCACATTCCTTTTTCCTACCTTTGGCAAAAATGAGAGAGGTGAAGTCTCTCTCAGCCCAGGTCCCTGAATGAGGATGTTCTTTGCTAGAACATGTAAGATTTACTGACATTTGGAGGTTGTTTGTTACCCCAGCACAATCTAGTCTAATTGGACAGACATTGTGGGGATCCAGGCCACAAGTGCCCCCCAGGGTAGAACTTGAGGATCCCTTTATTGAGTGCAATATGGACAGACCTCCAGGGAAAAGAGGGTCAGGTCAACTTTCAGGTCCCCGTGCAGGGCCTTCTTACACGACTGACTTGAGGGGTCCCCAGACATAGCAATTAGAAACAGGAAAGATAGCCTTTGCTATTCTTTCTACATCCTTTGATTAGCACCTTCTGTGTACAAGGTA